CACTCACTCACTCACTCACTCACTCACTCACTCACTCACTCACTCACTCACTCACTCACTCACTCACTCAAAGGAAGAGGCAATGTCACTTTCACACCTTGGTTCTAAATCTAACACCTAACCCATAAACAACACTTATACTTATGGGGACCGGGATTTGGTCCCCACAAGGAGCAGTTGGTCCTCACAATGTAGGATGTTTTGGAAAATTGGTCCCACACATACACCATCATGTGACCAATCATCTCAATTCATCTGTGGTTCTTACAATTCTTTGCATCCCTTGTTTTTAATGGAAACACGTGTTCTTCTCCATTCCAGGGCATGCACTGCCATCTCTCCTAGATATTTCCAAACCTCAACTGTTGTGTCTTCAGGTCCAACTGCCTTCCCATTCTTTTTTCAAAGTTTTACAAATTTCATCCTCACTAATATTTCCCAGATCTTAGTTCAGTTTCTATGACCTTTAGCCTACTTTTCTTTCCCTTTCGTTTTCCTCATGAGCTCCATTATTATTATTCCCATCTTCCCATCACACTCAGCTCACTTGTTAACTTTACCATTTTGATTTTTACAAGCCTAACCTGCTGCACATCCTTTCCAGCCTGATCCTTTTGTTTTGCCAGTTGTCACGTTTTTCTCCCCTCTCTTTATTGTCCAGTCTCTTGCACAACTCATCATATGCCTTCTGTTTTGCTATATATATACACCTCCCTCTTTGCCCTGCATTGCATCTCTGCATACTGTACTCCTGTCTACTCTTTCCAGTTATCTCACTGTCCCATTTCTTCTTGGCTAACCTTTCTCTGAATAGCTTCCTGCTTGTCACTGTTTTACCAGCAGGCTTTCCTATATTTTCTCTGTCCAGATGACACACCAATTACCTTCCTACCTGCTTCTCTAATCACTGTTGCTGTTGTAGCCCAGTCATCAAGAAGCATCTTTTTCTAACTTATCTTTGAACAGTTACTCTCTGAACTCTAAACATTCTTCATTCCTCAACTTCCTTCATTTGGTGGTTTTCTCTGATGTCACTCTTTTGCTCTTAACAGTCCCCAGTCTCACTTGGGTTGCCCTTTTTTGCACAGAATGTAGTCTTCCTTTGTACTTCTGCCTCCACTCTTATAGTTCACTGTGATGTATGTTCGTTCCTCCTTTTAAAAATGGGTGACTACAGCCATTTTTATAATCTTGGTAAAGTTCACCACTTTGTTTCCCTAAAGTTGTTACCCACAGTCCTAAACTCTTGGCTTTCCTCTTCTCCATCTATCTCCTGGCACGTTTCCCTCATGGTATTTTTTCATTCAACCTTTTATTTAGACAGCGCTTCAGGTCTTTTTGCAAGAGAGATTGTGGTCCAAGCACCCAGTTTGTCAAAAGCACCGGTGGCGGTCATTGTTAACCAGGGCTTTAATCTGGTATGGTATTTGGATGAACTTGTTTGTTTTCGGCAGACGTGTTTTACGCCAGATGCCCTTCTTGATACAGCCCTCACCATTTACCCGGGCTTGGGACAGGCACAAGAGATGCACTGGCTTGTGCTCCCTAGTGGCTGGTTTTGCTCTTTTGTGTTCCCACAAAGTGAGCCCACTATATACACACTAGGGAGCCTACCCCCCCCCCCCCACACACACACACACACACCAAAGCCTTACATGCTGAAGATTATGACTAGTAATCTGACATGATTGTTGTATCATGTATTGTTGTATGTTGTATCTCTGGAGGAGAAAAGTGCGCTAAGTAATTCTTTTTTACTCCAGGTTCAAGTGCCACCTGAAATTCAGCTGGAATATACCAACGATTCCTGTCATTGAAAGAAATACTGGACTTGTATCAGGATTTTCCCAGAAAAGACAAGTCACTCAGTTTGATGCAGGTACACACACAACCAGAGTCTGACGATTATGGTAACTTCCTCTGGATCTTGAGCACATTGCTCATTGTATTTTGCGCAGCATGTCAGAGCAAGTTTCTCCTGAACACCGACATCCCAGGAAGTGATCTCCTGTCACTGAAGGCCGTCTCTGCTCAACACTGTCAGGTCCTGTGTTCTGCTCACCCACAGTGCACCTACTTCTCTTTTGTCAGGTATAGCATATACTTTCTCAGAGTGGGACCATTTAAACCATTTTTTAAATTTTGTCTTGTTCTGTGTTCAAGCATCAAAGTATGCTAGTTTTATATTATTTTCTTGTTATTCAGATTGTTTTCTTAATTTAAATGAATTTGAATTGTTTTTGCAGTGATGACTTCAAGTGTTTTTTGAAGAACAACCCAAATGAAATGGTGACCGAGGCAAAGGACGGAATCACATCAGGGATGCCAGCACGATACTGTCAGTTTGAAAGTATGTAGCAGTATTTACCACAAACTACTGTGAAAGACAACACAAATTTACGACAACCTGAGATTGTTTTATTTGGTGTAAAAAGTTTGGAATTTTTATTATTTGGTCAGCATTGCTCACATGGAATGACAATTCCAGTCTGTCATTTGTTGTTTTTAATATGCATTTACATCAAACATTACTTATTTTGCATACTTTAAAACAATCTGTGTCAAATTTTATTTAAAAAATTTAGGAACACTAAAGTCTTATATTACTGCAACAAATAGATTCATAAAAAGTAGTCAAATGGACTGTACTTATATAGCGCCTTTCCATCTTATCAATATACTCAAAGCTCTTTACAACACAACCTGTGCCCTTATTTTTTTCATTCAACCTTTATTGAAACAGACAAATCACATTGAGCCTTGAAGACTCATTTACAAGTGAGACCTGTTTGGACAGACAATACAAAGTGGTGAAAATAACACATAGGGTTTGGAGGTAAAAACAAACAAAAATCCTAACATGCTTCATGTCCAGAGACAACACACAGATGTACTGCAGAGTTCAGATAAAATCGCTCAGTTCAAGTAGTTCCCTCTAGAGAGATTCGTACACTCTCTTGGGGGGGGGGGGGGGGGGGGGTACTGAGGATGGCCAAGGACTATGTCACAATAGAATCCAAAGAATCTGGGCCCCTCTGATTGGTCCGTAGACTTCCTCGGCAGGAGGGGGTAGGGGCATAGCATAAAAGGTTTACAAAACTTCCAGGCGAATTAAGATAAGATGGCCTGTCAAGGCCAGTCAGGGAGCCGAGATCAGATAAACTCAGATAAACACTAATGTTTGGGGGGCAGGCAGAACTTAATGACATCTACCTTGAGTCTGTGTGTCGGTCCACTCGGTTCTGAAATGTCCAAATTAAATGGCCACACCAATGAACCGTGCCTGAGAGTAATCCACCCCTGAGATCTGATCCATCCTGCCAAAAGCATTTGAGTCTGGGTGCTCAAGGCACGAACCAAGCCATCACATAAGGCAAGCAGCCTGACCAGGTCCAAATTTGCTGCCGATGACTTCCTTGAATACTGGTAAACCAGGAACCAGCCGAATCCAAAAAGCTGGAAACAAGTTGATATACAATAAATTCAATTATATATGTGTCCTCCTTAACATCCACAAATGACAGCAGAGCTAGATACATCATCAAGTCTTCCAAGTGGATGAGATATCCACCTGTGTGCCAACAGGGCAAATCGGCTCACCTAAAGCCTGTCTTCTCTTCAAAGAAATGTTATCAATTGTGTTGAGGGACCAACTGACCAAATCCATAGCAGATTTATGATTCGGAAGATTTGTAGAAGAGAGACTCTAAAGCAGTTTCACAGACAGGACATTTGTGGACAAGTACTGATCAGGGTGGGGTTATATTTGAAAAAAACATTTTGGGTTTCATAAAAGTGACTTGGGGTTGCAATAATATTATTATTTATGCAAATGAAACTTTTTGGCCATCAAGGATGCCCGCTTGTCTAGTGTAACCCAAACACCTCTAATCCTGCTGAAATTACCATCCCCACACTGAAGCATGGTGGTGGAAGCATTATGCTTTATTATCTGGATTTAAAAATTGGTCAGTTTATTAAAACAATGTAAAATTCTTGAAATAAATTTATTAATTTTACTAAAACAAGTTTTGATCCCATTTTGAGATTTGAACTTTTCCTCCTTTGCTAACAGACTTTGAAAAGCTGACTTATGAAGAGGTGGATTTCAAAGGTTCTGACATCCGCTTTGAGCTGACGGACGATGCTGATGCCTGTCAGAGGAAGTGCACTGAGACTCCTGTCTGCCAGTTCTACACCTACATCAATGAAAACTTCTCTGACCAAGCTTTTTGGTACAGTATTAAACATAAAGCCAGAAAAATATTTATTCCAAAATCGGGCAGTACCCAGGAATGACTTTGCTCCTGTGAGTGTGAGATGATTGGTGACAAATGTTTTATTTGTGTTTTAGGCGCCACTGCTTTCTGAAGAGTGCCATCACCATACCTGTTCCTCCTAAAGTTTCTAAACTGGACAATGCTGTGTCTGGCTTTACCCTGAGAGACTGTGGCACCACAGTCTCATAGTTGAGCTGTTTTCATGTTTGTTCTTGTGTAAACAAGAGGAATAAAACAGTCTTGAACATTTTTTTTGGAGAGTTTTACTTTGACATTTTTTTTGCCACTATTAGCTTGTCTCTATTTTGGCTCCCTCTGTCTTGCAAAAGATTAGTTTGACCTTACTATTATACGAAGAGTGCATCTGGCTTCTGAACCTAAACTGAAATTGACAGAAACCATGATGTGATGTGGCTTATAATGTTTTTTTACATGTAAAAGTGATACTTTTTATTTGTTTTATGGCCTAATCCAGGTCTATTCAATTGGTGGCCTGTGGGTGACTTCCATTCAGCCCGCCAATAAGTTAATAATTTTTTTTTAAAATAAATCAGAAATAATAAAAAAAATAAAAACATGAAAGAAGACGTATGCATTTTTTTAAATGACAAGAGGCAATACTTTGATCTATGACAGGGTTATACAACTCATCTGCCTGCCGATGACTTCATTGAATATAAAAGTAGATTTTAAATCAGAAAAAAAAAAATCCCCAACAGAATAATATCAATCTGAAATGAGAAATCTTTTCATCCGAGAGGCGATCCTCTTATACAGATGATCTATGATCCCGGGCAGCCAGTTGGAGCAGCCAGTAATCATTTAATATTTCTGACAACCAGTTTGCTGGTGACAGCCATCAGACTTGGCCGTCACCAGCAAACTGTTTCAAGGTTCAAGGTTCTTTATTGTCACCACCATCACATATGGTACATGAGGTGGAACTGACGAACTTGCTCTAGAGCAATGTGGATATCCTAACTGGGCCTTCCTGAAAGCAGAGAAGAAACCCAAACAGGACTCCAGTCAGCCAACAGGTGAAAAGGAGGAACCCAGACCCAGACCAGTGGTCATTCCATATGTTGAGGGAGTATCAGAGAAACTGAGACGTTTATTTTCTAAACATAACGTCCCAGTGGCTTTTAAATCCCAAAATACATTACGGCAAAGACTGGTTCATCCCAAAGATCCAGTCCCCCGGCACAAACAGAGCAATGTTGTGTATGCTGTTCAGTGTCAGGAGGGCTGTGATCAGTCTTACATCGGGGAAACTAAACAGCCACTGGCCAAAAGGATGGCCCAGCACAGAAGATCAACATC